TCCAGAGGCAAACCCCAAATCTTCCTTCTCACGAGCCTTATCACTTCCCCGACGGTTAATCTTCACCCCAAACTTCAATTTCACTATGTCGGTAACCATCTTCCTCGCCTTCTATCGACTCTGCTTTGTTGAAAAAATCTTCGCAGCGGCATAATATTGAATCAGCTCGTTACTTTGTAGTCGCTTCAATTTGCTTTGCTTCTTCTTGCACTTAAACATTTTGACCAATTTTTCTTTCAATCTCAGTGTTACAGGTGATGCCTCGACAACATCTCGAATCCTCACGTAAACCTCTTTCTCAAACAATCTCTTGCACTTCCTCAGTAGCCGGGTGCTCTTACCCATGTGCACCCTTATCTCCCCGAATAGTCTTCTTACCACATGCCAGTTGTCCGTCCATACTACTCCCCTGTTGCTCACCACCTTATACTCTTTCCCTTTACCATTCTTCGCCAACATCCGCAGTAAGCTCACCACTCGCACCGTTCTGTCGGCCACCCCGTCAATTTGCAGAGTAAGGATTCTTGATGGTACCGACGTCCCATCTTTCCCTTCCATGCTTCTCCCAAGACTCATTCCATTCTTATCCCTCTCTCGCCGCCGTTCCTTTTTTCCTCGCCTTCTTCTACTCTTGGTCTTTTTCTTCTTCATTCTTGTATTCAGTGAGGGTGACCAATTTCTTATCAACGACCTTTCAATTGCTTTGAGTTCCTTCCTATCCTCATTGAAGACCAACGGTACGGCTACGTACTGCTCTACACCAACTTTGCTCAACCAAGTATACAGGTTACTTCTTACGTGTTCTTTCCATCTTGAACTCAGCCTTCGGTCAGTCATTCCGATGTAGACCTGTTTATACCATGGTGATACCAACACGTATACACAGCCACCTGGTCTCACAAAATCTAGAGAATCTCTTGAACACGCATCCCTCCAGTAGTCCAAAAACTTCCCGCACCGAGGCACTTCCCCTCGCACCACCAATTCTATCAACACCGCGCACACACACTTCTCTTGTGATTCGTCGCTGCATCCTATCTTCGATCTAAGGCTTCGGAGCGTACTAATTTCTCTCCACATGCGTCCGACACATCACTCCAAATCTTCATCCTCCTCATCATATTCACTTTCTTCATCGGCAACTTTGATGATTGGCTTGGATCGTAGAGATCTTGCCAATCTTGGCACTTTCGGCGCATCCCTCGGCGATTCAGGCAGAGGCAAGTTGATCGGGTCGTACGCTTTTAACAATCTTCTGGTTACCAATCGTTTTATTGCTATGTCCCTGTTCGTGTAGCAGATCTTCTCATTTCTGCATGCTTCTTTTAGTTCGTCGATCGTCAGCGCTTCAAAAAGATCACGACATTCCTCTTCATATCTTTCTCGATCGCCTGGTCCGCATTCCACAGACACGCGCTTCATGCTGAGTGACAATTTCTCAATCGGTTCCGGTATGGTGGATGCAGATACAGTCCTTCCTGCCTCGCTACTCCTGATTTCTTCGATTCTATTTTTTGCTTCGGTCCCCAATTCCGGCCTTATGCCCCTATAGCATCAGCCATAAGTCCCGTTCTCTGGCCTTTCTTCGGCGTCGTCAAAGGTGGGCTATTCTCCATAGCCTTCTCTGGATCCCTCCTCCTTTTGCCGTTAATATTTATCCTGGTCGCTCGCCTTCGTAATAGTAGAAGCTCAGTATCTTCTTCCTCCTCTGAGCTCGGTTGCACGACAATTTCCCTTCTCAGTCTTTCCTTCTCCTCTTCAACTGTCTCGCCCCTCTCGTTCATCTTCTCTTTCCTCCTTTCCTTATTCTCCATCCCCTGCTTCACACCACTTCCCCATTCCACGCGTGCCAGTTTTAGCAATCTCGCATCTTGTTGATCTTCGTATCTCTTCCTTTCTTCCAGTCGTTCTAATCTCTTCCTTTCTCGATCCAGGCGTGCTTCTTCCACCTGTTTCTTCTTATGCTCTCTGGATTCTTGCTCCTTTCGTGCTTGTCTCTCTTCTGCCAACTCCAGAAAATATTCCCGCATTAGTCTTTCGGTATAGGTTGACCCGCTTCGGTTTGCTGAACTGTCTGTCGATAGACTCCGCTGCTGCCCTTCCTGCATGGTGATTGCTCTCCCTTGACGCGGTCTTGGAGGTGGTGGTACGAATGCCACCCCTCTCGCTTTTGCATCCTGGTATTCCTCGCAGACGTTTGCAAAATGATCGGCCTCTCCGCAGTTGTAGCAGGTCTTTCCTAACATCGGATGAACTCTTGCAGGAACTGGTGGCTGTTCGATACTCCCTCCAGTTCCCGCTGTCCCACCCGAGCCACTTGATTGGCTCATTTTTTCCGAGTCGCTTTCTTCCCGACTTGCAACGTGTCTTTCCCTTGTTTTTTCCTCTCCGTTAACTCCAAGCTTCCTTCCTTAACTTCTTGATGGTATAACTCCTTCCGCCACCCACTCCAGGTTAATCTCCTAGCAAGTTATGGGACCGATGCAGAGCAATGAAGTCATGTCACACTGGGTCACACTGAAATTCTTGCCAAACGTATAAAACGCGAAAACAACTTGTGGCTGTAAGCATTAGCAACTAAAACAAAAGAATGTCGTCCGTAGCCAGAAAGCTCGTGACAATTCCGTGAAACTCAGGCTAAATGCCAGTGCGGAACACCCCCGTCCTTCATGCGACCATGGCAACCGCAAAAACGCAGTGCCCCACCCACCGTTCTCGTCCGCTACTGACTCCGAGCACGCGAGGTGCATAGGGAGTCTGACCAACGCATTCAATCTATTTCTACTATCGGTACCTCCTTCCATCCCGCCGACCGACACTTCTTTCGTCCCAAATCCTCAACCTTACTCACTTCCCTGAACTTCTTGAGACCCTGGACAAGTACCAAGTACTACCGGTCCCACGATTACCGGTTTTGGTTCAGTCTCAATTTTTTTATTTTTTTTCGGTTCGCTGCCTAGACTGTTTTTGGGAAGTTAGTAAACGCTTGTTCGTACCAGGTCGGGTCAATGCCTGTCGCCCGTCCTACCGCAGGTAAGCAAACCTAGGTCATCCTAATCTCTATCCTCTCAACCCTTAACCCCAACTTTTTCACAACAGCGAACACAAATAACATGCATGCGATGTAAGTATTGGTAAAATGTACAAACTGGAAAAAAAAATAAAATTCCCGATCAGTTTCTGTTGCAAAATGAACGGAACAACACATTGCTTCTTCTCTGCCGTCGCTAGCGGTCGTCTGCTCTCTTTCTCTCTCTCTCTCTTTCTCTCTCTCTCTCTTTCTCTCTCTCTCTCTTTCCCCCTCTCTCTCTCGCGTGCGCGCACGCTCAAACACTGAACGCAGACAAGAGATTATGTCCTTCTCAGTGGGGGATACGATGAAGTTCAGAAAAAGTCGGCATAGCAATCTCTCTCTCTCTCTCTCTCTCTCTCTCTCTCTCTCTCTCTCTCTCTCGCTTTCTTTCTCTCTCTCTCTCTCTCTCTCTCTCTCTCTCTCGCTTTCTCTCTCTCTCTCTTTCTATGCATGTCTCTCACCCACATTGAAAGGAGAGGAGAGATGATATTCTTCCCACTGAGGGACAGGACGAAGTACAGAAACGTCGCATCCACAACGAAGGTCAGACGACATCATCGTGTAGAACGCGAACATTAGCCATGTAGATTGTCTCTTGGTTCTAGTGGCGCGTCGACAACGACTCGAAACGTTGACGGGCGGTGGAGGCGCTCCTCAAACTCTTTTGCGAGGACAGAAACCAACATGCACACCATGTCCCCTATAACATCGACACCGCCTCTCCAACGGTTGGGAGTTGCGACCCCGATCTTCGTGAGGAAGATCACGACGTCGCATAGCAATCGCCGCGCAAACCCCTGATACACAACCACCTTCAGGTTTGTTCGCCCGTTGGCATCGACTTCGTAATGGCGCCAGTTTTCGCGAGTGACAGCCTCCTCGACTTCCATGTGTCGACAACCCCTTTTCCCCCTCTTGTGCTTGTACTCGTAGAAGATGATGGTCCTCCCCAGTACCCGCCCCCTGCATGGTGTGTGCACAATTCCCAATAAATGATCTGCCTCCCCTGATGCGACCGCAGATGCCTGACGGCCCCGGCCCTTTGTCCTTCCAGCAAAGTCCCGTTGAAATATCCCACTGCGGCTATGGCGAGTTGCGAACAAACACCTCCGTCGAGCGCACAGCCGACCACTTCTGCGGAAGTACTTGAAGCCCGCTTAAATAGCGACCAACCATTCCTGAGTGCCGAACAAGGCGAATGCGACACGTAGTGCAAAATCAAGATACTCTACCAACAACATCAAAATAAATGTCACTTTGCAAAAACTATACACCCCCCCCCCCCAAAAAAAAAAACCATCCATCGGCATCGAACCGAACGGAATCGACTAGACACTGACAGAGAACATTTCAAATCTATGTGCCTATCGTGCTCATGGCCGTCCCGCTATCTTGATCAAGGCCTGCCCAGCGCTTCCACGATCTTCATTAGCGCCTCACACAACATGCGCTACCCCACGTCGATCACTTCAGAATGCGTCTCGTGCACTTTCACCTCCCTCTCCATCACATCACACTGCAGGTGCAGCATGTCGCATTGTCGCTTGCTTGCCCTGTCCACAGAATCTGCAATGACTGTGGAGTGTGCATTCATCATGTCGGTCACCGCCTCAAACGCCCGTTGATGTGCGTTTTTTCTTTTAGAAAATTTGAAACCGCCCGATGATGCCTCCCCATTCTCGCTTGCTGAAGTTTCCCCCCCTCCGCCGCTCCCCCCTCCTTGCAGTTGAGAGGTGCTGGTATCCACAAGATTCGGGGGGTGAATGGTCTGGTTGCTATGCTGGCCAGCATCAATCGCCTCGTACAGGCGGCGGCTCATTTGGAACTTGTAGCCTGCCTCTTTTCGCTGCTTCGGAGTGAGAAAAATGAACGACTCTTTGCCGGACTCCTTCTCTCTCAACTGCACCTTCTTGTACCACAAGAACATGTTCTTCCCAGCGCTTCATTCACTGCTCCCAATCCCGCTTCACCCCTAACGCACCCATGCGATTGGCGATATCCGTCCATTTCCACTCTTTGTTCTTCATACGAGCAAAGTTGTGCCCCACGGTGGCCAAGGCCTCATCTTGATCTCGCTTACAGCGGACAAGTGTGAGGGAGTCATCCAAACTCCATATGGTCCGCCCCCCGCTTGGCGCCTTTCCTTTACCTCGCCCCTTCGATTCCGCCTTTCTTCGCAGGTGTCTTCTTGCGGCCGGTGGAAGCCTGAGGAACATCGTCATTTATCTTGTCTTCGTCTTCTTCCTCGTCGTCTATTTCATCTGCATAGTCGCACTGGCCATCCTCAACCCAACCTTCTCGACCTCCATCGCTGTCGCTTGCCGCACGCATGGTGGAGACACGTGCGATGATGTGTTCCACCACATCCGCCTCTCTGCGCTCCCCTCGCCCCGCTGCCGTTGCAGCGGTCCCCCGACCACCGCTGGCAGCTCTTGCCGCTGCCCCGGTCGCTCCTCCGTTGTTCACAGGATACCCCGCCTGCTGCACCCCGGCAGTGGTCGATCGCCCTCCCTCGCAGCCGACAGACGGCTCCCCTTGAGATCGGGTGGGAGGATTCACCAGCAACGTTCTTGATGCGGTCGCTTGCCCCCCAGATGATAGCTGCAGGTTGAGAGCGGTCCCATGCCCTGCCGCTGTCCACGCATCGGGACAGATGTCATGGGGGCCTGCTGCTGACGAAGCTCCGCCCGTTCCATTCCGCAGTCGGAGATGGACTGCGTAGATCCGTACGCCAGGGGGACGGCAGACAATGGTGGTTCCCATCACTCGTCGTCAGGCAGCGGCTGTTACCACAAGGGGAGGTCTGCGTACAGTCCCGGGTCGAAACGGGGCATGCACGATGGCTGCTGTCCCCCACCGACCCCTCTTGCTCCCATGCTGTAGAACAAGTGCTCGCGCCCATCACCGCCTGCCATGCTTCCCTTACAAACGGTCAGCTTTCGCACTTCCGTCATTTTTTGCCTACATGGCAGACGGCGTGCCGGCAGCAATGAGCAGAAGTGCAGGAGGACGACGACGAGCAGGACGATGAGGATGAGACAGAGTAACGACAACTTCCTCACGTGGTCAGCCATGCAAGTGGATCTGGCATTGCGGGTTGGCGCGCATGCTGCTGCTTCGCTTCCGGTTGTCTTGTACTACACACGAAGCACAATCAAAGCGCCTGCACCCCTACAAACCACTACCCACCCACTCCCAACCCCCACACTTCCCCTCGCCCCGCACTGCTATGATTCAATTTCGAAACAGTCATCTTGACGATGGACTCCCCAAGCGCGACAACGGTCGAAAATGCCCGCGGTACCTAACCCGGGACGACGGCGTCGAATGACCGCGCTGCGTCTACCGGCCGCTGCCAACAAAAACCAGCCAAGATCCAGGAACAGACGAAAGGGAGCAAAAAAAAGAAAAAGAAAAAAAAAAACCTGTATGATCTGTATCCGCGGCTGTCCTATGGCTGTGCTCTTGAACTCAAGTCACCTCGGAGAGGTGACTTGAATTCAAGGGTGATTTTGGCTGTGTCGCCCTGGAGTTTCGAGGGCGCACCCGCGGGACCCAAAAAAGTGAAAACAACGCGGGTCGCTCTAAGGATTGGGTGGAACGAAGATTTTTCGCTTCGCTCTTGAACTCAAGTGGTGAGGAACGAGGCCCAGAGACGAGAGAGGAGCAAAATGACGACGGGAAGGAGTCTAGGGAATCTAAAAATAGAAATCCCGTCTTCTCGTCTCATTGGAATGAGATCGGAACCCGACCCGGACTCACAGAACCACACTGGAGCGGGCGCCATAGCCGCGCTGATGTGGAACAGTTATCGAACTGCAAACCTCAAGCACTCGCGGCGCTAGAGTGATGACTGTCGATTGGAAACCGATCTGTTTACTTGCCTCTCCCTCGACTTCATAGGCGACGACTAGCCTCCAATTGCGACATAGTTTGGCCTAGAGGGAGGTGAATCCCGCCCCCGTTCCCCCCTCTCTCCTTCCTCTCC